TATTCATCTACTTCTCCTCAGCCTCCTCCTCCTCCTCCTCTTCTTCTGCTTCCCCCACCCCTGCCACCATCACATCAATGCCAAAAGAGCCCCCTCCCCACACCATATCCAACTCTCTCTTCCTCCCTCCCTCCTTCCCTCGCCACCTCCAACCTTCTGTTTGGAGGAAAAGAAGTAGAAGAAGAGTAAAAAAAATACACATAGTATGTGGCGCAGTTAGGAATTTTAATGGCACTGCTCATTTTGGGTAAATAGTATATCAGCTGGGATCCAGATATATGGGGAGGTTTAGTAGTGGTGGTGATCGGGGAGACAAAGAAATAAATTAAAAGGAAACCCAAAGCTGGATGATGGATGAAGCAAAACAAGAGAGAGGAGAATGGAAAATGAGAAGCAGAGAGGGATGGAAGAGGAGGGTTATGTGAGGATGCAGAGCAAAAGGAGAAGAGGAAAGTGGTGAAAGATGGACGAACAGAAAGAGAGGAAAGGAAAATCTCATCTCCTGGTGGAATAATCACTCATTTATCACACTGATGGAAAAACTGTGAGAGAGAATGGAACTGGATAAGGTTCAGAAAAGACTGTTTCATAGTTTTTGTGATAAGTTTCAGCTTACACTTGTGTAGTGCATAAGGCATACATACCAGCGTCTAGACAGCTTTTTGTATAACATGAATTATGCATGCAGGGTTGCTCTCATTCGGGGGAGCCATATTAATATTATTACATATGTGGCAATATACCGAAGGATGGAGGGTGGAGGGTGGAGGGTCTCCTCCATGACGCTCAGCAAATTGGGGAAAGCTATAATGGCGCACACACACAAGCATTAATGCGTGCACACTCACACGTATGAACACATTCCCAGAGCCTTGCAAATTCATGCACACTTGTGCATGTGGACACACACAAACACATACACACCAACCCAAAAGGCTAAGCTTCCTTTTTCATTTCAGCAGAGAAGATTGCATTTTCTAAGGCTGTGTGTGTTTGTGTGTGTGCGTGTACGTGTGTATGCGTGTGTGTGTGCGTGCGTGTGTGTGATTACTGACTGTTTGGGAGGGAGTGATGGGGGATATTAAACGATTCAAATGCTGTCTCTCTTGCTCTCCTCCACTGGAGAGACCTAAGACTGCAGCATGGCCACACACACACACACACACACACACAGATACACACACACACATACTGGCCCAGTCTGTTCTGTCAGAAAGGCCAATTTAAAAACACACACTGCCAATTAACTGAGAGGCAGCATAGTTTCAGTGTGGACATTGTTGTAGCGCAGCATACACAGATAACGTGGATATGTGTGTTTTTGTGTGTTTATGTGCGTTCTATTCTGAGCAAATTGCTTGTTTTAAGACCGGGAGGAACAAAGACAGTGGATGAATCGTCTGCGCTGCCTTTTCAAATGTCCACAGCTATTTCTCTTGGATTTTTTGAGTGTGAACAACTGTAGCCATTTTCCTGATGATTAGTGACCAAAACACAACCCCCCGCAGGATAAGTACATACTATTGTCCTCAAAAGAAGTCCTCAAAAACAAACAAAACACGCAGGCAGACGACAACACAGGACAAAAACCAAACACTGATAGAAAACTGGCCCTGGGGGAGAAAATAAATCGTCACAAAGAAACAAATATGGCAAGCAATTTGTTTAGTGTGGATTCTGCAGCTGGGGAGGTTTGAGGTTTGATGCATAGAAACTTTAATATTTGCTTTACCTGTTGTTCACTAGCAATTATTGCTCTCTTATGGTACCCATGGTACATTCGCTAGACCTTTGTAGCCTTGCGCTGGGTTGCCTACAACTCGCAGTACTGTTATGCAAACTGAACAAGTGATCTTTGGACAACTGTCCTCTACTCTTTAAATTCCTGTACAAACCTGGATCCCTCTAGATTTTGCACCAGGTCCCTTTACGGCTTCAGGAAGTCTGCCAAAACGCAATAACTCTCATACTTACTTCCAGCAGTTTATCTTATTAAATACAAGCCAAAAGTCCCATAGGAAATGATGTGGTATGAGATTAAATCCACACTGATATTCAGTGTGAGTAAATGTCCCTGAGCCAGATGTGCATGAGACATTTTTCATGATGGGCATCTTAACTTGTCAAACTCAATTATAAGTATAACTTTTATAGTGGCCACATTGCATTAAATATTTTCCATGTAGTACCAAGATCTGGTTGGCATATTCTGGCTTAGTGGAGAAACCTAAATGGAATGGAGCATCATTAATGGAGGAAGGGAAACTTTAGAAATGTCCAACTTCTATAAAATGATAACTTTGCAGATTGTACTCCTCTTTCATAAGGCACATTCAGGCACCCTGTGGGGCCTTCAGACCTCCTCGGCAGAGAATGTTGATATTGGCTGATTCTGCAAAACCTCTGAGTACGTTCAGTGACAGGTTTTTTTTTTTAATGCAAATGTTTGCTCGTACTCGTACTTTATAAAATAGCAGCAAACAACAGCTACAGTATGTTTAAAATCAGAAATAGATTGTGATAAACTATGTTAGTATGGTTAGAGTTAAAGATGCTATAAGTAAAATTGGCATTTTGGTTAATTTCCTGTCTGTTCTTGCAATTAGCACTCCCCTGCCTCCTCCCCTTTCTGCCCTTGAACATGTGGAGAGGACTGGCTCATTGTAGAGTCTTCTCTTCTGACTGCATAAAGTGGGAACATGATACCAAAAAATGTATTCTCTGTTTTTGTTGCAGAAAGGAGGGACCGGAAGACCCATGTTACTGACTGAACAGTTGATAGCTGTCAGAATGTAGAGCTATTTAATTTAACTTATTTTAACAAAGCAACTTTACAGCAACAAAAATACTTTCTTATGGTTATGGAAAAATCATGGTTATTTTAAAAAAGACACCTCAGCCTCTACAGCCTTACTTTTTGCCTTTCTTCATATAGGACACACTACACCCTGCACTGGTAGTGAACATTGACACTGGACATAAATCTTGAGGGGTGGAATGATGAATGTGATTTCTAGGATACTTTGCTGGGATAATCCTGGATGATCCTCTATGCTAACTATTTATTGCTATAACATAAAACGCACGATATCTTTCATCCCTCAAGATCTTGAGTCAGTTAGTAACAAGACAAGAGTCTCCAGCCATGCCACCATCTCTGTGAGGTACAGCAGCGCTTCGACCTAAATGCTAATGTAGCAAGCTAACATGCTTACAACATGCTTACAATGCAGGTATGATGTTTACCATGCTCACCATCTTAATTTAGCGCTTTACCATGCTACGATTTTAGATTTGTAGGTACCTGATAAGGTACCGGAAAAGTCAAGGGATCACTAAAGTCAACCTGTGGGGAAGATGAATGTTTGTACAAAATAATCCATCCCATAGTTGTTAAGATATTTCAGTTTTTTCATTGTATTAATCCATGATATGCTATTTCATAAGAAAAGCATCTGCCCCTTTCTGCATCTATATACATACCTAGACTGTCTGGAAAGTGCTGGAGGCATTCATGGGTCTTCATTACTAGCTCATGATATTCTGGAGCAGCACATAAATGGATACTCATTAAGCCGCTGATAGCTGCAGCCGCACTGTGTTCTGTAAATCGTAAGGTGTAGACAGTAGACAGTAGAAGCTGAAATATAAATGTAGAGTGCGCTGCAAATTGTGTGACTAGTGTTTGTTCACTAACAGTTATTTAGAGCTGACAAGTGTTGATTGAAGAGCTGATGTATCTTTGCAGCAGCTGTTCGAAATGTCTGAAGTGTTACATTAACTCGCATAGGTGACGACAGAGAGGATTTATTTATACGGTAGTTTTATTTTATTTTTATAGTTCTACTCTAATTTAAATATGCATAATTGCATTTATAAATCCATCCTTGGACTGCTGCCCACTTATTTATCCACTCACATGTCACATAAACAATGCTGCTATAGTCTACAAGGACTTGCTAATTCTCTCCATCCCCTCAGTCCGTATAGAATTTGGTAAAAAGGCCATCTCCTACTCTGCCCCCTCAACCTGAAACACAGAACAGCAGGAACTGAAGCTGTCCAGCCTGATTCCCCTCGGGGATTTTAAACTACTTTAAGAAGACTGGAGAGAGAACGACTGTGGGGGTTTGCTCTTTAGTATTTAAAATCCAACTAACCCTTTGGCACTTTTACACTTATCCCGTTTAGGAGTTTTGGTTCTATTTTGTCTCTGCATTGGATGTCTGTCTGTAACTTTGTTTTGTGTTGCTGCTGTCTAAATAAAGGTTGAATTAAAAAATAAAAATATTATGTGTGCAGCATGAAGGGGCTAAAACGTATTAATTGTACAACCCTGTGTTGACAATAAATGAACCTTTATACTTTATACACTAAAATGATGTTCACCTTTACATTCAGAGTATATTATTAGTGCTGATCATTTTGCAGTTATTATTCTGTCATACAGTATGTTTGCCATCATCACTTGCCCTTCTACAGTGTGTAAATAGAGTATTATTATCAAGACAAATATCTATATGAATCCCTGTGCTTGTTGGCAGCTGATTCTGCATTCTACCTGACTGTCCGACCTTTAATACAAGAGGTCTGACAATGACTTTAGCCCTGGGCTACAGCAGCCCAGACAATGAAAGGTTAAATGCTACATTGTAGCAAAAGGTGAAATTACCCTTGGGCTAAGTAAGCCTTGGGGCAACCATGTAAATATTGAGATCTCATGTGCAACCTTCAATAGACTTCACATATTGTGATTTCAACAGGGAACAACAAGCAAAACTGTCGTTTAACCCAGTTGGGTCAAGAAACCAAGTCGAATGATTCGTCATGGCCCACTTTGATTGACTGCAATCACAGTTTTAACATTTGTCACTGCGTCAGTCGGAAAAGGGAATCAGTGAGAGAGCTGGGAAATCATCAAAACCCCGTACCACTGGGAGAAATTCTATCCTTCATCCACACAAGTGCACACTTTGTATTTGGCTCAGTCAGCACTGTAACTATCTATAATACTGCAGGAGGAACTCCAGGACGATCAATAGTTCTTGATAATATTCTGATTATTAAGGATTGTTGGAAGGACACTGAAACTGCAAAACCTAAACTATGAATGAGGTTTTGTCTTCACCTGAGGACCCAGGATCAGCCAGCACATCCAACCAAAACACTCCACATGAAGTAAATAATGGATGATGATGGACAGCTGGACTGTTATAAATATGTTAAATAGTCAGACTCACGCTTGTGGTTGTTCTTGCGCTGGAAGGGTAGTGTGTGTCGCTCAGAGTCTTCTTCCCCCTCCTCATCTGCCAGGTGTGTGTGAGTATAATGGTAACTCAGCCCTGGGCGGTTCTTATAGCGTTTTCCACAGACTGTAAAACAAACACACACAGACACACACACACACACACACACACACAGTGTAGAAAATTAGTTTTCTGTATGTGTTAGCAAAGAATAACAGAGTAAGGAGAAACAGGAATAAAGAAATAAAGTTGCATCGCTCACTGTCACAGACGTAAGGCTTGTCTCTGTCTTCAATGGCAGGCGGCTCTTGTCTCTTCCTCATGCCCCCGACACCATAGGCCTGCAGAGATCACACAAACACACACACACGCACACTTGTGAGAACTCCACAAGCCACATGCAAAATCACAAATGTAGATAAGATACACACAAAAAGTTTGAACTTCCACACTTGTCACACTCTACACACACACATATAAGAAGAGCGTAACAGCACACTCCTCACTTGTGTGTTCAAGTGTCCACACACACACACGTTTGCATTCTAATCATCTGCTCTCAGTGTAAAGCTTCACTTCCAGCAGGAGGGGGCTGATGACACCTAGCAGGGGAGCAACAGCTCCAATTAGCAACCCTGGTGCCTGCGTGTGAGTGTGTGTGAGTGTGTATGTGTGTGTGATGACTTTCAGAATACATTGTTAACACTTGATTATCTTCCCATAGGATGCCCCAAAAGAGTGTGGGGGGAGGGCTGTCTGATCTAATCAAAGTTGTTGTAAAAATTTAAAAAAAGAAGGTCGTCCCAGCATGATTTAAATCTCTGGATCCGTTTGCATTCATCCTCCGTAATAACTGTTGGTTTGCCAGATGACATTTCACTGTAGACTAAGGCAGGAATACAGAGAAAGCACAAAATGATTCCAGACTTGAAATGCAATAAATCATATCTATCATAACCTCAGACCAGGGATTACAAAACAGTGACATTATTTCTGTATATGCAATTAGTACAATTTCTGCATGTATATAGTGGAATGTAAGCTTTCATTTACTAATTTCTCCAGCAACACAGGACTGTTACACTCTGCTTATATGGGATCCATAAATATACTAGAATTCCTACAGGTCTACATCAGAATAAGTTATGGGCTGTCATCTCATAGTGTAATCCAAATCAGGACACTTTATGCTCTGTGTTTGACAGGCAGCACACTGAACTTTCACATCACTGTTTGACTTTGAGCTTCATCTGGGTCATTGTTGCAGACTTTGGCTTTTCTAGCTTCACTCTCCTGCACTGATGACCAAACTATCTCTTTTGTGGCTTGTTAGTTCAGTATAAAATGAAGAGAAGGGGGAAAAAAAGAGATGAATTATGAATGTCATTGACGTCTCACCCGTGCTTTGGTACGGTTCTTGCGCTTCGGGACGTCTTCCTCCATCTCGTCCACCTCCAGCTCATGAGGGAAATCCCCGACCAGCAGCTTCTATGGATGAGAGACAGGGAGTAAGACAGATTAGTTGGTATAATTTTTTTCACCTTTCCTTTCCTTTTTCTTTCTTTTCTCTTCAACCATCTCTACTTGCTTTCAACCTGGTCTGCATGGACCCATTGGTGGTCATGAAATTGCACATCTTCCTTTTGGTATTTGCTTAATCACAGTGAGGGAGACAGGCTTTAGAGCAGAACCATTAACACAAAATCTAACCAAATGTGTCACCATTTCATTGCATGAAATCCTTCGATTTATGACTTGCTCAATTGGTGTTTCACGTAATATAGCACTGCACTTCTGTAAATTAGGGGACACACAAGAGGTACATTTAAAAAAAGGAATCCAGCAGCAAAGACCAAGCTTTTGGTCAAGCTTGAAAAAAACTGATTCCTACATTTCCCATTCAGTCTACAACTGTTTTCACAGGCTAAGTAGTACTGTATAGTGACGAAAAAACTGAACTTCATGCGTAATATCAATGAATTGCTCCTTTAAAAATGAATCATAAAAAATCTGGAAACCATAGCAGTAAGGGAAGAGTACAGTGTGCACATGGAGCTATGATGGGGGTAAAGCATTGAAATCATGTCTGCCCGGGTGAGCCCCGAGCTGGGCTGGAGTCAGGGGAAGCCCTGGATTAGAGGCCCTAAACACTACTCAAGATCTCAAAGGGCCACTGTGAGGACCATTCACTCAACTGCTGATTGATTAGCTGTCCGTCTGAATTCAAGAGCGACTGCCTCTGGCTGGTGAAATACTCCAGCCAGATGGGCATCAAGTTTTTTCTCAGAAGTTACTGAGTGCTAACTTGCTGTATAAAGCAAAGAGGTGGATTGACTTCCCCCTAAAGTCCTTTAAATAGTTATTCACAAGGTTGGTCTGTAAAACACGCGAGTGGAATCCCTGTAAAACAGAGACTGGCTGCAGTGCAATCACACACAATCACAAGCACACACACGCTCGATGCCAGGAGGGAGTTGTCAGAGCCACGGGAGCCTGTGTCACCGCCAAAACACACGCTCCGAGAGAGACAAAGGCAGAGACAGACAAAGAAACACAAACACAGAGGGTAATACAGACAGATAAAAAGAGATAGATAGCCTGACAAAGGAAGAAAACAACAAGAACAAGACAGAGAACAACAAAGTACTGCAGAGGGAGAGAGAAAATGAGAGAGGGAGGAAAGAGAAACGAGAGTCTCACCTGACACTCGCTCATTGGCTCTTCTTCCTTGGTTTCTACCTTCTTGTCCAGGGTTTCCCCGGCGAGCAGCGACTCCAACACAGGCCCGTCTGGAATGCCCCCCTCCTTTTTTAGAGTTGCCTCGTAGTCTAGAGAGTGAGACAATTACAATCAGAAAACAGCAGAGATCTCCCAGTCATGCTGGCATGCTCAGTTGAGCCGACAGTGCCCCGAGGAAACAAAAGCTGGCTGCTTCATGATGGCATGAAGTATTTCATCTTCTGCAGTGTACAGACGCTGAGGTGATCATCTGCAATTTGTCTAAAATATCATATGATTGTCTATTGCTTGTGGTGTCCACTTTTTCTCTCAGTGTAACCTGCCTTCTGCAGAATACCAGCAAATGAGCAAAATATACAAATTATTGTGAGTTTAACTAAACTTTCTTTCAATTATGATACAAACACAAAGCTCAGTGAGGACACAGAACTGTAAACCGAGCCCTGAGCCATTAAGTCTTAAAATTGTTTAACACTTAATGGCTCCATCTAATTTTTTCAAACCTTAAGGCTACATAAGGGCAATTGAAAGGGAAAAATGTCACGTTAAGAGGTTCAAAGATAATGGCCAGCATCAATTTACAATTAGCACTACAGTATGCACCCCGTGGATACACAGATTTCGCAGTTCTATCAGTGGCAAAAGTTATTAAAATTGCTTAATTACCGATCTTGAACTCGATCGGTACAAGCCGCGGGTCCTCCAGAATGTTTAGCCGTCTCTTCTTGCGCCAGCAGCGAGCGGGATATGTGTACAACTGACCTGGAGCATGACCTGAAACACAGAGGAATACACAGCTCGGTTATAGGACACATACATTAATACATTCATTAGTGCAGGGCCAAAAGTGGATGACTGGCATTAAGTATATCTACATTAGGTTAATTTTGTTTGACTAATTTTGGCGTTTTATATGGAAAGTCAGGATTCATTCTCTGGGAACCATGAATTCATGGCTAAAAATATAAATAGGTAAAAAAAGTGTCACTATTAATACAGTTTTTCGAATATAAACCACTTTTTGTTGCTGTTGGAAAGTTTTATGGCATTGTTGTCAGTGATGAATAATCCGCCACTAAAATATCCCTTTAGTTAACCAAATAGAAATAAACCTTGAATCTTAAACACACACTCAATTTAATTAAATAGCATTCTATGTAAATAAGGTTATAACAAAAAAATAAGTAACTAACAAACAAAAGAATTCTACTGGCAGACACCAGACAAAACCCTACAAACTCAAATCGTTAACACATTACACACACACACACCTACACGCACACACACACATAAGTGCGTTCTCTCCGGAATAGTTGGTGCCAGCGGCGTATCATTGCCTACAGGACTGTCTGATTCCTTGCCAAAACACACTGATGTTACAGAGAAAGAGAAAGCGATGAGGAAACACCCTTTGGGGAAAGTAAAAATAAAAAAAGTTGAGGTGTGAAAGGTAGGAGGCCTGGAAAAGAGGAGGAGGAGGAAATGAGGGAGAGGAGAGAGGAAGAAAAGAGAGACAGAAACAAACAGAGCAGAGGAAGGAAGCCGCGGGACAAATGACTGGAGAGAATAATTTGTGTAGCTCAACAGCTGGCAAACACACCGCACACACCACACAACCACTTGCCATTTTATTCTGCCCAGGTATCAAACACACACCTCACACAGACACACAGACACACACCTGGTCCACGGTGGTTCTTCTCCATCCAGATGTAGCAGTTGCTCTGGGCCACGCCGGTCTGGGAGTCCAGGAATGGTAGACGCATGGAGCGCTCAGCGCACAGACGGGCATTGTAGCTGCGACAGTGTTCAATGGCCTCCTTATAGAACTCTTCACCAAGACTGAAAAAGAAAAGAGTCGAGGAGGAGGAGGAAGAATAGATAGAGGGAGGGTGTGTGGGGGTCAGAGGTGGAGAACAAGGAAGGGAATACAGTCCAACTTTAGCAGGGAAACGGGATGCCAGAAGCTTGGCATATGTGTGTGTATGTTTACATGTGTGTGAGAGTCAGGGCTTCGAGTGGGCTTTCATGGACAGGGGTAGGGCAAATGTGTGTGTGTTTGTCCGTGTCTG